TAAATATTTTTCAATTTCATCTTCATTTGATGAGTTAGTAGATTTGCCAAACATAAATTCTAGAAATCCTTGGTCTTTAATATTCGTTGGCTATCTGCATTAGTATTAAGCTGCTTATTATTAGGTAAGCTATCTAACATATCTTGAAGAGTTGAAATAGCATTTCTTCATTCCCACTCTGAAAGTTTTTCCATTTTTTTGTATCGGGGGTCTAGCAAAGTTGCGACTAAAGAAATTTCTGTTGGACTTTTCCAATAAAAATTTAATGCATTATATAAATTATATTTGACTTTTTTAACTAATTCATTACAGTCAGTAGGATTACTAATTTTAACTTTATGTCCTTTGATTGTTGTTTCAGTTTCAGAGATTTTATTGTAGTCAACAACTAAATCTTCCTCTTCAAAAATAGTATTTAAATTATCCAAATCAACAGTTTCAACTTCATCATCCAACATACTATTTAGTTCACAATTTTGAGTTAATATTGTAATAGCAAACCACATAAATCCTATAGTAGAGTATTTGCTACCACTCAGCAATTCGGTTACTTCAGCAAATGGTTTTAGAAGACTGGTTAGACTTGTCAAAGTATTCCATTCATCCGATGTTAGCATAATAGATTTTAGATAATGTGCTTCTTTTTTGGTTTGTCTATCTGGAGAGGCAAGGAGTGTAGCATACATTATATCAATAGATTCCCGAAGCTGAAGCAATCTAGTCCACGCAATATAAGATGAATTCTATCTAGTAATTATATCAGCAGTAGCATGTAAGTATGATTCTTTATTGGCATTTATTTTAGAGGTTGATTTTTTTAACACCATTTGAGCTTCTTCTAATCATTCTGCCTATTTATTTAGTTAAAGTATTAGAAAAATAAAATAGTTTATTAAAAAAAAGATTTACAATATAACTTTAACAATAAGAAAAAAAAAAGCAAACTAAAGATTAAAAAAAAATTAACCTGTTTTGGAGATGATAAGAAATTAATTAGATGTCTTGCTCTTGTTACAAGTTTTTCTGCAGGCTTAAGCCCTTTTTCAATAGCCAATTGTAAAGTATGTGCGGCACATGGTATTCGTTCAGTACTATACATTAAAGATATTGCCTTAATTATGTTTGCAGCATTATCTGTAGTAACAGTAGTTACTTTACGATCTAATTCCCATAAATTAATAACTTTATCAAGAACTGCTTGAATAGTATTAGCATTATGAGATATACTAAGTAAGTAACAGCTAATATAACTTCTTGTAATTGAAATTTTGTATTGACAAAATGGCAAGTAACTCCTAAATATCCACTTTTTGATTGTGCGGTCCAAAGATCACATGTTAAATAACAAAACCTAACTTCATTCTTCAAGATCTCTTTTAAACGAGCAGATGCAAGATTATATCCTTCATTAATTCGAAGTTTAATTTGTTTGTCAGATGGCAAATCACAATAAAGATCTAATACTTTAAGTAGATAAATAAAACTTGAACTTTGTACTACAAAAAAGGGCTGAAAATCATCGATTATCCATGTAACTAATGCCTTTTCTATTTGTTCAATGCGTGCAGAGTTTCTACCTATGGCAAGTCAGAATGAATCTTCAATTTTAGACTGAGAATTTTGAGAATTAGTTGAGTTGGTTCTTTTTGTAACTCCATGACTTCCTAAATGTGTTGCAAAGTTTCGTGTTGATCCTTGTGTACGAATTATTTGACCACAAA